ACTCAAAGATCAACACTTTAACACATTGAACATGAATTAAATTATTGAGTATGAAATGGTTCAAGGACCTGTAATCAAGCATAAAGCAATCTAGGTTCAGATTTGCAAGTTTATGAACATGTTTTGATGAAGAACAAAAGTGAATTTTTGCCAACTTGTGAAATTCGAATCTCTCAAGTTATGAGGTTGTTTGATGAGTTCTTGGACATTTTGGAAAGCTTGGAATGTGTACTACAATCCATCTTTGAAGTGAAAATTAAAATTCCAAGTGGAAGGGTATGAAAAGTGGCCTTGAAGTGGGGTAGAAAACCTTGTCAAACTAGGTTAAAATTTCACTAAGTTAAAAATGGTTTAGTGCCCTTATTCAAAAAATTGTAACTTGAGATACAAGCTTCAAATGAGAAAACTTTGTGAATCAAAGTTGTAGATTATGCAACAAGCTACAACTTTCATGTTTTGACTTTTGTTTGAATCCAAATGGATCTTGGTGAAAAGGTGGGGCAAAGTTGGGAAAAAATTAGGGTTTTTCATAACTTAGAAAAATTCTAAGTTATGAAAAATTCCATTTTCTAACCCTAATTTGCAAATTGTGATTTCTTGGTGAACAAGTTTCATGATTTGGCATATTTTGATGAAAAATGAATCTTGACTCTTGATTTTGACCAAAAAGTCAAAGTTTGACTTTTCAGTATACAGTCAAAACTGATCAATTGACTGAGAAATTCAACTGTCAATCTTGTGTACTTGGGATCTTTTGAGCTTGTTGAGCATGTCAAGATAATTCCATGGGGTCCTTGAGTCCATATGTGAGCTTGGTTTGCCATTGACTAGGTCAAACAGTCAAAAATTGCCTCTGTACAGTCAAAACCCTAAAAATGAGCATTTTGCCCTTTTAGTGATCTGATCAAATTTCTTGTGGAATTGTGATCCAAACTTGATCAAATGGACCATATGAGTTCATAATGTTGATGTGGATCAAATTCCATGAGATTTGACTGTCAATTGGCCACAGTTGACTTTTTCCCCAATACAGTTGATTTCTAGGTCAACTGTCCAATTGACTGGGCAAAACTTGGAATCAAGACTTGAAACTTGGTATGGATAAACCTAGGAGGTCAATATGAAGCAAGAAAGTCATCTTGGGCACTTTAGGTCAAAACATCTTTGTGCAAACATAAACCCTAATTTGGGGTTAGCAGTGCAAGGAGGAGTCTTGAGCAGATGAAACCCTAACTGGATCTTGAGCTTCAAGAGCTTTGTGAGGAGAAATCAATGAGAAATGGGAGGGCAAATTTTGGGGTACAACAGTTGCCCCTGTTCAATCTTCTTGAACCCGAAGAGTTAGATTGGCAAGCTTGCCTTTCGTGACTCGAGGGTAAAAGGAGATTGGACACTAGAGTGCCCGGAAATTTGCACTCATCAAAGCACTGGATGCGGGAATGGGCTTAGAGATGCCATTTGGAGATGGGCTTAACGATGCCATCTGAGAGAGTGACAGAAACTTGTCGGGGATGGGCTTAAAGATGCCATCTGGAAGGGAACATCAGGAAAGTGTCCAAGCTTTGGACCATTTCTGAATTGGGAGTCTGAACAAGCAATAGGTTGACATCCGTTGTTGGGAGGAACCTGTAAGCTGTTTTCAGGAAGTTGCATCTGAATAAGTTGATAGATTAACACCCGTTACTTGGGAAGAATCCATGAACTGTTTTCAGAAGTCTTGAGAAGAATCTGAACAAGTGATAGGTTAACATCCGTTTACTTGGAGAACCCGTGAACTGTTTTCAGAAATCTTGAAGTTGAATAAGCAATAGAACAACATCCGTTGTTGGGAAGCGTCCGTAAACTATTTTCAAAAGTTGCATCTGAACAAGTTGATAGATTAACATCCGTTACTTGGGAAGAATCCATGAACTGTTTTCAGAAGTCTTGAGAAGAATCTGAACAAGTGATAGGTTAACATCCGTTTACTTGGAGAACCCGTGAACTGTTTTCAGAAATCTTGAAGTTGAATAAGCAATAGAACAACATCCGTTGTTGGGAAGCGTCCGTAAACTGTTTTCAAAAGTTGCATCTGAACAAGTTGATAGATTAACATCCGTTACTTGGGAAGAATCCATGAACTGTTTTCAGAAGTCTTGAGAAGAATCTGAACAAGTGATAGGTTAACATCCGTTTACTTGGAGAACCCGTGAACTGTTTTCAGAAATCTTGAGATTTGAATGATTTTAGTCTGTCGACTGATCTTACCTGAAAAGGCAAAGAGTTAGTCGTATGCAATGCTATGATGCATGATACAATGTATATTTTGTGTTATGGATGTAAATGGATGTGCATGTAAGCTGGAGAGCTGTCTTGCATAGGATAGATGAATCCGGGACAGCGGAAGATAGAAGTATCCTGACTGCTGCCGAGGAAAATAAGTCCTGGGTTGTTGCTGGGGAACCTGGAGCTTGGGTTGTATACCAATCTTCTGGGGAATTCCTGGAGTCTTCTACTGGGGAGTACCAAACTAGTAGACTTAATGCTGGGGAGGCTAGATTGAGAATCTTCAGCCAGGAGAGAAGTATCTCTGGAAATTTCACTGGGGAACTCAAGATTTTTTCTTCCTAAAAACTCTGTGGGGAGAGGATTTAAAAGTCTGATTCCGCTGGGGATTGTCCATTTGAAGCTTTTGATCTGCTGGGGATTGTCCATTTGAAGCTTTTGATCTGCTGGGGATACTGAAGCTTAAACTCTGAGGGAAAATGATTTCTGGAAGATTCTCTGGCTGGGGATTTGCAAAGATAAACTCCTCCGGGGATAGTATTGATAAGTTATTGTTGGGGAATTTTGAGGAACTCCGCCGGGGATGGGAAGAATTTTGGCGAGCGCGATCTCCCCTGGTTGTTAGCTGAGGATAACCCAGTTATAAGCCTCTGTGAGGAATAACTTTGAATAAAACTCGGGAGGGACGTCCGTACTCTGCGGGGAAATGTCCTTCGGGACCTTACCGGGGATAAGTTTTGAGAATCTGCTGGAAATAAACCTCAGGGTTTGCTAGGGATGTGGATTACAGATTTTGAGGGGTTTCCTTTGAAAGGGTGTCAAAATGTCCGTTTGTACTTTCACCCTATCAGTAATCCTTTTCTTAGGTTCAATTAGGAAGTGATCATGTTTCAAATGCATATGCCTATTTAACAAAACATTGGACGTTTCTCAAAATAAAACAAATAGTGCAAGAGAAAAAGAAAAGGGAAATGACACAAATTTTTGGGAAGAGTATTTGTATTGATTTTCTTTGGGTATATTTGTACAAAGGAGACAATCATCCTAGTAAGAGAATTTTGCCGTAATATTGAAAGATTTTATACAAAAATAAAGATGGCTATGTGAAATAATTCCATGGGATTCCATTCTGCTGTAGCTTTCACAACTCTGAACATCTGTCCATTCAATGATTCGTTTGACGATGGCTGGATTGATCAGAAACCTGGAACCGGTTGATGAAGAGATCGTCTTTGAAGTGATCCGACGAGACATAGTCATACGCTCTAATTCCCTAACTTTTGCCTGAATCGCCCTTTCGGGTTTTCGATCCACCGGGAAACCCCTTTTTTCCCAAGCCGCCCTTTCGGGTTTTTGACTTGCCGGGTGTACAGATTTTTTTGTTTTTATCCCTAATTTTTGCCTGAACCGCCCTTTCGGGTTTTTGGTTCACCGGGATGCCCATTTTTGCCCAAGCCGCCCTTTCGGGCTTTCAACTTGTCGGGTTACTTTATGCGTAGTATCTTTTAACTATGTCTGCGTTCGCAGGGTGTGGCAAATCGTCGCCGTCCATGGTGGTCAGAATCATTGCACCACCAGAAAATATGCTCTTGATCACAAATGGTCCTTCATATGTAGGAGTCCATTTGCCCCTGGGATCACTTTGCGGTAAGATAATCCGATTGACTACTAGATCTCCGACTTGATACACTTGACGCCTAACTCTCTTGTTGAAAGCCTTGATCATCCGTTTTTGATACGTCTGACCATGGCATATAGCAGCAAGTCGCTTTTCGTCGATCATATTGAGTTGATCAAGTCGGGTCTGCATCCAATCATCCTCATTCAAACCTGCATCCTTCATAATCCTTAGAGAAGGAATCTGGACTTCCATAGGCAAGACAGCTTCCATTCCATAAACCAAAGAAAATGGGGTTGCCCCAGTTGAAGTACGTGTCGTCGTACGGTATCCATGCAGCGCAAACGGCAACATCTCATGCCAGTCTTTGTAAGTGACCGTCATTTTCTGAATAATCTTTTTAATGTTTTTGTTCGCAGCCTCAACAGCACCGTTCATCTTCGGCCGATAGGGAGATGAATTGTGATGATAAATCTTGAACTGTTCGCATAATGCAGTGATCATTGTGTTATTCAGATTTGTACCGTTGTCCATGATGATTCTGTCTGGAACACCATACCGACATATGAGGTTATGTTTGATAAAGCGGGCAACCACATTTTTGGTGACAGAGGCGAAGGAAGCTGCTTCGACCCATTTAGTGACACTACAAGAAAATTAGTGTTTAACGACACAAAAATTGCGACAGTTATGTGATAACTGTCGTAATTGACATATAGAGACAGTGTTTACGACGGTAAAACAACCGTCGGCCCCCATTTAACACTTTTAACATTGATTTTTCACCAACAACTAGTCACGACGGTAAAATTAACCGTCCTAAAAGGCATATCACGACGGTAAAGCACCCGTCGCACCTTTAAACCTTTCACGACGGTAAAATTATCCGTCCTAAAATTCATTTCACGACGGTAAAACAACCGTCGCACCCAAAACCTTTAAAAATTCTCATGGGCACGACGGTAAAACACCCGTCGCCGTAAAAAAGTTAAAAAGCTCTTAAAAAGCTCTTATTCATTTCATTATTCTTGTTACAATTTTATTTTTACAGTGAACCCTTCATCTCTCTCCCGCGCAGCCTCTCACCCCCCAACCTTCAAACCCAGTTCTCCCTCAATCAAAACCCAACCACCAAAAACAAACAAAAAGCTAAAGATCTTACCCCTTTCGCGATTGCTTTATGACTTTCTGTCCGATTTGTTCTGATCTTCTTTCTCTCTTGATCCCAATACCAAATCATCGAGTTTGGAGCAAAACCCAAACTCCTCAATTCCAATCGAGTTTGGAGCAAAACCCATAGCGCCATCTCATCTCTTGCCAAATTGCACAACTCATCTGATCCTAATGAGCGAGAAGTTTGTGAAATTCTCAAGGGTTTGGGAGACAATGTTAAAGAAGTTGATGCGGAGCATGTTCTGCATAACATAACAAACCCTGAAATTGCGATTCTTGCTGTTAAATACTTCCAGAAGAAGATTGAACCGGAGAGACATGTTGTTCTTTACAATGTGTTGTTTAAGCTTTTTAGAGAAATTAATGATTTTGAAAAAGCAGAGAAGGTGTTTGAGGAAATGCTGCAGAGAGGAGTCAAGCCTGATGTTGTTACGTTTTCGACTTTGATTAGGTGTGCTTCTGTTTGTTCTCTGCCTCACAAATCCGTGGAGTTGTTTGAGAGGATGCCTTCTTTTGGGTGTGAGCCGGATCATAATGTGTCGTCGTCGATGATTTATGTTTATGCTCGCACAGGTAATGTTGATATGGCTTTGAAATTGTATGATGATGCGAAAAATGAGAAGTGGCCTGTTAGGGCAGTTGCATTCTCTGCTTTGATTAAGATGTATGGTGTGTTGGGAAACTATGATGGGTGTTTATAATGGCTTTGAGTGTTTATAATGATTTATGCAGCAAGTGTTTATAATGGCTTTGAGTGTTTATAATGGCTTTGAGTGTTTATAATGATTTATGCAGCAAGTGACTTGCTGTTACGATTTACTGACATTCAGTTTTTGTCGTTTTGATTTTCATAAAAGTTAAAAAAAAATATATTAATGGTTTTCTTTCATTGAAACAGGGATTACTTGCAATACAACTTACAGCTGTATTCAAGAATCTGCATCCACCATCCTGTGCAAAGGAAAGTAGCACATGCATTGGACCAACAGCGGGACAAATGACGTTTCTATTTTCTGGGTTTTGCTTACTCTTGATAGGTGCTGCAGGGATTCGACCGTGTAATTTAGCATTCGGTGTTGATCAATTCAATCCAAAAACAGAATCAGGAAAGAAAGGAATCAACAGTTTCTTCAATTGGTATTATTTCACCTTCACTTTTGCTCAGATGATTTCTTTGTCATTGATTGTGTATGTACAATCAAGTGTGAGCTGGGCAATTGGTCTTGGAATTCCTGCTGCATTGATGTTGTTAGCTTGTGTGTTATTTTTCATGGGTGATAAATTGTATGTTAAAGTAAAACCAAGTGGCAGTCCCATCAAAAGTATTGTACAAGTTTTAGTGGTTGCAGTCAAGAAAAGGAGAGTTAAACTACCTGCTCAGCATCCAATGCTTTCCCTCTTTGATTATGTGCCATCCAAGTGCGATTATCCAAAGCTTCCTCACACATATCAATTCAGGTAAATGCATCAATCTAATTTAAATTTATTTCCTAACATTGAAATTCAACATGATGATGGCTCTTAATCCTGCTGGTTGATTATGACGGTAATCATCTTTTCCTCACTTTTCAAATTTTTATTTATTTATTTATTGAGTTTGGTTTATTGGCTAAAGTAAGGCTAGAAGATGGTTTATTTCTGTCAAATACTTCAATAGTCAGTTAGTTTTCCTGGATGGAAATTTCTATCTTACCTGCATGGTTAATGTTCCTGGATTATTATCCTCTTCCCCATGGATAAGCAAGATAGGCTTCTTAATTTTATTAGCGGACATGAAGGGACTCATCTCGACATAGGTATTAGTGGCCTCCCAAAGAGTTCTATCTTCATTCTACAGAAGAAAGTATTGTATAAGATGTAAGATATTCATTTCTAAAGACAACTCATGGAAAATACTATGCAATTGGAATAATAAAAATCGAGGCATTATATAGGTAGTACCTGAAAACCAAAAGGTGTAAGCGTTCTATTGTAAGCACCAGAACGAGCAATTCCACAACAAAAGAGATGAGGGGCGTGTGCTAGGAGGTTGGCAGTCATGAATGCACCATAGGAATGTCCACCAACAACTATTTTCTTTGGATGAGCTACCTAGAGGGGATAACCGAAAAATGCTTGATTCAAACGATATTTATATTGGATTGATAACTTAATCTACTACACAAGTAAAAACAAAAGCTTACCCCACGCCGGATAACTTCTTCCACAGCAGCCTCTGCACTTGCAACTAATTGCCCTACATAGCAGTAAGCTGAACCCCATCTTTTCTTTGATACCTGATCATCTCTTTCTGCAATGATGCAAGCTGAGGGAAATTTGTAACCTTAACTCTTTTTGCATTTGGCCAGCTAACAAAGTAATACTGGGTGTTCTCTGTTTTTGACTCTTTTGAAATCAGTATTTTCAGCTTATCTAACTGTAAATCCCCTTCTCCTTGATCCGACATTAGAAAAGTATCTAATTGTGCCCAAATATGTTGTTGGCTAAATGTGAATCAATAATTTGTATTCATACCCATAGCGGAGATCAAGCTTGTGTAATATCGAGATTGAAGGTAAAATTTTCATTCAACCTCTTCTTTTTCTTCCCTTTGCTTATCTACACAATGTCTGCATAAAAACAAACTGATTTCTAGTGAATCAACAACTAATGCTGTTTTAACAACTGAATCCATCAGCACTTATTGGTTTCTTGGTTCTTTAATACTAATCTAGCTCTAATTGCTTCTTCAACATTTAACCACAGGAACAAGTTGCTTATAATCACTACCATAATTCTAGGTAATTATTCATTCTCCTTACTTTTAAAATTTCTATTTCTAGCTTCAAATTATTTATGTTCAAAGATGTACTATATTGAGAGTTGATTGGTTCTTAGATGAAAATTACTTTTTTGTTTTATTTTACTATCTAGAATATTCCAAAATAACCTTGTCTTTCTCTAGTAGACTTTTCTCTTTCATTATACTCAGAGATTCACAAATCTGTTATGTAGTTGTAGGATACTACTCCTTTTAATGAGAACTACTAGTGGTGAAATAGTGGAGACTCTACCAAGATCCTTTCAGGTATATACATATAAATGAATAGCATTTGATTTCACTATTATGTTTATCAAAGGTGTTAGAACTTAGAACTAAGGATTCTATTAACAGGTACATAGTAAAATATGCATGGAATTGATGAGAATATTGGATGATATCATGAGGATATTTCCAGATATAGAGGATGCAAGACCAAAATGTTCATCAGGAATAGAATCTCTGGTTTATCTGAACAACTCAATTCAGAAAGCTAAACTACTTCTACAACATTGCTCTGAATGTAGCAAACTCTACCTGGTGTGTTTTCTTCTTCTCTAAAGCATATCTCAATAATAATTTTGTATAACTTTCTTAACAAGTAAGCTAAATATGACCACTACTTTCAGGCAGTGACAGGAGATACAGTACTTTTAAGATTCCAAAAAGCAAAAAAGTCATTAGAACAAAGCTTAATTCCCATTCAGAGTATGGTTCCAGTTGTGTTGGCTGTTGAGGTTAGTCAATTTTTTCTTCAAACATTGTCTAATCTGACTTTTTATAAGTCAGTGATTATTCATAAAAACTAATGACTTATTGTAGTGGAAAAAATTCTATAAACAAGTTAATCCAAACTAAGTTAATCCAAATTAATATAAAAATTACTTTAATTTTAAATATATGTAGGTTAATTATCATGAAAGTTGGTTAAATGGTTAACATCTTAAAACTTAAATTAATGAATATCTAAATAAAGAGAATAATAATTATATGGCTCAGCGTCTAGTCACATAACAAGATGGAATAAAGAGTCATGCTATCAAGTTCTAAACAAGGGAAGAACAAGATAATGAAAAGTAATAACAGTGTAACATATGTAACAAAAATAAAGTTGAGTTAAGATCATTGTAGTTATAAAAATAGAACAAGAAAATCACATAAGCTATCACTTATTCACATATTAAAAATATTGAAGTTTTGCTTGTACAGAACAAGTAACGTCACAAATTCCGTTGCAGAAGTCACTATCTCCTATAACCTGACACGCTTACAATTCTCACATGGTTCGTTCATTCTCTCTTCTTAATTGGGGTCCCATGTTGGACTTAGACACGGTTCCAACACTTTATAATTACAATCAATTTATTTATTTTTTAAAATTATTATCGAGGTGTTAGTGTCGTTTTTTTTGCTTATAATATGTTTCATAAATTAAGATATTATGATCTCATTTGATTTGTATATACTTAGATGAGCACATTTAAGTTATTGTGAAAATCTAGCTTTAGCACCAGTGATTAATTTAAGAGGGAGGCATGATGTAACATGTTTGGTAATGAAAACTTATAAGAAAACCGTTCTATAACGAGAATAATATGCACATTGAATGTTCTCCTCGCAGAGACTAGTTCATCTTTGGGCGCTTGAATCCGCGGAACGCGATGCCTTTTTGGTGGAAATAGCTTGCACTAGATCTTCTGATCAATTGTTTTCTGCAAAGAAGGCTTATCATGTTCTTTATAAGAAGTCTATTGAGGAAGATGTTGCTCATCACACAACTGGAGACTACCGGAAGGTACAAATTCTCCATCATAAACTTGTTAGTTGTAAGTTGAAACAAAAATTGATTACAAATTTTGTATCAAGATAATGAATAATTTGAGCTATATGTGTGATTTAAGATTTTGTGTCACTCAAAATATCAAAGTTAGCTTATTTTTTGTTGGTATATATAGCTCCTATTGCCTCTGGTTAGTTCTCACCGCTATGAAGGAGATGAAGTGAACTTGACTATAGCAAAAGCTGAGGCAAAGATACTTCACGAAAAGATTTCGAAAAAGGCTTATAACGACGACGATCTCATTAGGATTCTGGCCACAAGGAGCAAAGCACAAGTTAATGCTACTTTGAATCACTACAAAGATGCATTTGGAAAAGATATAAACAAGGTTAGTAGAGTACTACTAGTTCTCACATTTTTCTTGTTTTACAAAAACTGATTAAGAATAACTGTATTAATCTTTTTTTGAGACACTTTGATAGGACCTGAAGGAAGATCCAAAAGACGAGTTTCTGTCATTGCTGAGATCAACTGTCAAGTGCTTGACTCGTCCTGAGAAGTACTTTGCGAAGATAGTTCGTCTGTCGATCAATAAGCACGGAACGGATGAAGGGGCTCTTACAAGAGTTGTGGCAACAAGAGCTGAAATTGACTTGAAAATTGTGGCTGATGA